CATTGGCAATTGGCCATATTCCCATCAGATTTAGCAAAAAATTTACAGAGAAAATCATGTTAAATGGAGTATATTTTTGCGTCAAATTTAATAAAAATAAACATAATTAAATTAAATATGTAATTGTTTTTAATAATTTTTTCGAGAGTCGCTTATAATTCAAATAGTCTATTAAAAAAAAAGGAAAGTTATATAATGAATGACTGAAATCCTTAATGAACGGAAGGCATTTCAATTCTAATGCTAATGAATAATATCGCATCTCCATCCAAGCAAAAAATCAAGATCTAGGCAAAAAAAAATGTGTTTCAGTGCCGGATCTTGATAGTAAATGCATTGTATGTGATATCGCATTAAAACGCTCGAACATCTTAAATACTTTTTTCAGCAACACTTTCTTAAAACGTCAAGTTTAACAAGAAGATTCGAACTATTTAAGAAGACAGTTCGAATTTTCTTGTTAAACCTGACTTAGACCTATGAAAAGAGGTCTACGCTCAAACGCTCCTTTAAATAAAGTATTATTTAAAAAAGTATTTAAGATGTTCAAACTAAATTAGTTTCAGCTCATATAGAAGTGTTTTTTAATGATAAAAAGACCTTTTCCTTATAACTATAAATGTTTTTGTTATGATTCGCAGATGATGCTGTAGCCTATATATATATACAGTATATATACTGTGCAAAAGTTTAACAGATTAAGGGAGTCAAGAATCACTGGACTATAGGCTATAGTAGACTATATGTAATCTATATGCAACTTTTTGTGTTTACTATAAGTATCCAAATTAAAGTGGCTTAGGCTTAGATAAAGTGATAAGCGCTCAAAATAAAAATTAAAATGTATTTTGAGAGATCTTCACATTTCGTTTAACAATATATTACTGTAACCAATAGAGTCTTCAACATAATTTAATTAAGCAACATATTTGAAAATGAAATTTGCGGGTGAAATAAGAACATAGACAAAGAAATTAAATAAGGTTATATGACAAGATTAAATAAAATTCAATATTTCGACTAAAAATAACTTTTAGTCAATTAATTCAAAATTTTAAATGGTGACTGAAGATTTGTTTAATGTTAATTACCATACTCAAAAGTCTAGCAACGAGTTGAGTAACATTCCCGGTAAAAGAATTTTAAATTGTGAGTGGTGTCATCTGTTACGATATTTTATTTAAAAACTATTTATATTATTAATTATTATAAAATGGCGAAAGCTTAATTTTGACAGTACAGATAAATTTTATTTAAAAAAAAAAAATTGTAAATGATAAGGAGTAAAATCTTCATTAACTCCGATCCACTCGAGATATGACACAATCCCTCTGTATCTCCTTATTCCCGCGATCTTTAACACCAAAACTTAATAATCTCTTATTACCCAAGCCTCCTTGCAAAATTTCAGAAATTTTCGACAAAAGGCACAGGAATTATTAAGCTTCAAAGTGGGTGAACAAAAGCGTGCTCCCCACAGACACACTAACATAATTATAAATATCCATACATTCAGAAAAACTCTCCAACATTTTTGAATTTCTCGACGTTTCAAGGTCCTCGAATCCAAAAATGTAAAAATCTTTGAAGGTCATTTTTGACCGATGCCATGCTTTCCCTCTGTTATATATGAATGTGGAACGTAAAAATTCAAAGTAAATTATGAAAACATCGAACTAAAGTGATTTTTTTTTAATTTTGAAGATCCATATAACTAAATATTTGTAAATTTCATATAACGTAAAAATTTACAAAAATTGCTTGTTAAAAAATAATAAATAAAGACGTTTGTATCGCAAACGCATTAACTTCTTTTCTGTTTTGTTATTATTTTTTTATTTTATAATCAGCTTATTTTTAAAAAATTTATTATAAATTTTCATTATAATTATACCCAATCTTTAATTTTTATTAAATATTTCTGATTATGTGACCTTATTAAGGAATTTTCTATTTCTTAATAAGGTTAGACAAAGAGAAATATCCTAACAAAACTAAATAGAATAATTATAATGGCATATTTTAATCATTATTTAACTAAATAAGACATATAAAAAGATTGCTGACCAGAGTGGATTTATATACGTAAAGAACCTATACCCATTTAAATATATCTATTTAATTACTTTATTGCATTCTATAATCACCGATTTATTAGTATGCTTTACATTATTAAGTTATAATAAACTTTAATATTTATTATTTTATCTCTTATTTCTCATATTTATTATTCTAATTTCTTAGTGATGGATACAGAGAATATTTTAGAGATAAGATAATCAAATATACTCTATATAAAATTTTATCCCATGAATAAAAGAAATATTTTCTTAAAGTAAGAATATTTATTTCAAAATAAATTAATAATAGTCTATATTTTTTTTTTGTATGTATTTTTATGTATTTATGTAAAATTGCAGTTATTTTTCAAAAGTTTAAAAGTTTTTAAATTTTATGAAACTAAAATTTAAAAAATAAATAAATAACATTAAAAAAGTAGTCATTTATAATATAATTTTGAATGAGAACTTGGAAGAATTAAAAGTTTTTTTACTGGTTTATTTTAGCAAGTGGTCTGAATTTATTAAAATTAGTTTGTAAAAAATAAAAAAATGTATTCATATATCTAACAGTTTTCTGTTTTAACCACATTATTTGTCACATAAAACTTATCTTAAATCAATAGAGAATTATTTTTAAATTTGACAATGACCTGGAAAATAAATAGAAAACTCGTTGAAGAAGAAAATAGCAAACAAGTTACACAAAAAAAAAATTTTTTTTTAAAAAGACTAATTCATGTAAATGTTAAAAATATCATTTTAAAGTAATTGTTATTTCTTTAATAAAATATATTTGGTTAACTATTTAAGATATAATGTCTAGTTTGTAAAATATATAATTAATGTTGACTGCCGATCAGCTGATGTCAGACTTTCTTAACCAACCGTAAGTTCAAATTTCCATTTCCGGGTGAAAAGAGTACGTAAAACGCTAGCGTTTGTTCAAATGATCAGTCACGTATCAGAATATTACAATATACAGAAACCTGACTGGTTGTTTAAGAAAACGATAATGCTTTACGCCCGCATTATGCGGAAATCGAGTAGATCAGTGGCTTTGAGTACGAAAAATGCCATGTAGATCGACATGAAAGATTGGGTAATGGATCGAGGACAATCAGATCACGATGCATTTTTCATAACTTTTCTTTGTTGGTCCTTTTTATCGAATTTAAATATCTTTACGTCTGTCTTCCTCTTGTACTCTTGTACATTTGCAGCGCAAATATGAACGAAGCACGGCTTTTCGAATAGTTTAGCCGTAGCCGAATCTTTGTGTAATTCGAAAGATTTGGACTTTGTGAGTATGTCTTTCATGACAGTAAATAAATGAAGAACTTCGTTGTTTTCTAGATAATTTAGAGCTTTAAAGTCTGTTCGATTACTTTTTATGATATTATCTTCTTCATTTTTATGACGAACAGTCTAAAAATATAACAAAATTTATGCAAGAATATGCATTCTATCTCATTAAATGAACAAATCTTTATTCTGAAAAGTTTAGATTAACAATACTAAAACAAAAATGTTAGCACTTATAATCGATTCACTGTAAATTTTTTCAGAGAAGCGTCTAGTACAGAAATTCTGTTAACAAAGATATAAATGACTGAGTATCCATTATATTCTTATCACATGCTGTAGTGATCTAGGTTATATTTTGTTAAGAATAAAAATCTATTAAATAATTTTTTAAAATATTATTACACAATATCGTCAACATTGTAAAACGAAACGAAAGTGAATTTTAGTATTTTAGGTAAAGTTAAAAGAAAAAAAAATTGTAGTAATACGCTCCAATGACTGCTTTGATCCCAATTTGTGCGTGTCCGGCAGCAATTTCTCTCGTGGTGTTACATGTCCGAAAATAACTTTAATTCTGGTTTTACTGCAGTTTTATAAGGCCCATTTAACAAGAAATAAACATCTTAAAAGATTTTTAAAATTACCGAAATAACCTTGAAACTTATGAATTCAAATGTACTTGCGTGTAGATTAAAAAAAACTGTAATTTATAAATTGTTCTTGAGTTTATATTTTAAGGGGAAAAAAAAGAAAAGAATCACGATTTATTTACATTATCTTATTTTTAAATCGTTATAAATTAGTCTAAGTTATATTTATGGGCAGTCTATCGAGCACATTGTACACAACAGAGAAGAGGGGGTCAAAAATGGCTCAAACATTGAACTCGTAATTAAATGGACGGCCCAATATTGCATCTTTTAAACTTTAAGATGTAAATTCTTAAGCTATATTTCTTCAGCATAATAGAAATAAATCTTTATCATTAATTAAAATTCATGTAGAAAATTAACAAATTTTCATCTGTAAACCTTATAAAATTATTTGACAAATTCATTAATGTCGCCTATTATTTANTAACTATTATTGCAAAAGTATATTTCTATCTTAAAAAAAATCTGAAAAGTTTTAGTGTGTTCAATTGTTCCCTGTTAACCTCATTCTGTGGTAACTGTTTGTTTAATCGAAAAATACACGTGTTTAGTCGAAATTTTGCTTTTTTTTTTTACTAACTTTCCACCAGCAACTGTACAGTAATTTACTGTACATTTGCTGCTAGTGGAAAGTTATTACACACGTTTATATAATATGATGACTAATAAAATCCAATGACGTAATGAATGACAAACAATCGAAATCAAATTACTTTTTTTATATGCAATATATATTTTAGAAATAAATTACATACTGCCATTAATTTAACTGTATGTTCTCATTTTTTTTTATCATAAATATATTAACGGAAAATTGCAATTACTAAGTTATACAAAATAGAGTTATTTCTTGTTACTGGGTGAAAATTCTCATTTAATCTCCCTTCTAATTATGAAAAGATTTACTATATATATATATATATTTTAAATTAAACCGTAAAGAACTTATACAATCTATGTATATTCAATTAATTTTTTTCGGTATATACCAGTTTTATTATTTTCATATAAATAATCGAGGAAATATGGAAGTCGTCATTCTCTTCTCCCCGGAAATTACCTGAAAAATGTAAAATATTTAAATTACATTTCCATTAGATAATTTTAAGTCATTGTTCTCTTCGATAGAAATGAAAGGAAACACCTCTTAGCCTTTCGTGACTCACGAAATTACACAAAAAGGTCGTTGGCATCACGCAGAAACTATTGTTTTGACATCAACCAAAACAGAAGTCCTCAGATAAGCAGTTACTACGATCCGACTTAAATTGAATAAAACAACTGTGTTAATTCTATTTATCTCTATAATCTAAACAAATTTCTCGTTAGATATCACAAAACATGACACGGTCAATTTTCTTTCTTTATCGGTGTTTAAAAATTAAGATGACGCTTAACAGACCTTATTTATTGAATTTTATTTAACAATATCGATTATTATTTTTTAAATATTATTTATATTGTTATTAAAGTACGCGTTTTTATTCACGGATTGGGTGTGTACCTTTATTCATTTGTAACAGATAAAGCGTCCTAAATAAACACGTTTGAATAGAATCGTGCCAAATATAATCACGTGATTCATTACGACTTTTTCTTACGTCATTTATTTCATAAATACAAATAATAAACTTGTAAAAAATAAGAATGATTATTTAACCCCATTTTATGAAGTAAGACACGATCGTATTGAGATGATTGACCTGAAAATAATAACGTTATCTTAAAAGAGACATTCTCTATTTAAAAAAAGAAAGAAAAAACAGTCTAATTAACTTGGAAAATTTATTTAAAAAAACTAATGTCTCGTAAACGTTTTATTGCTGTTATACATTTCTAGGTCAAATGCTAAGAGATATTTTAATTATAAGTCACTGGCCTTATTTCTTAGTACTTAATAATGAGAATGAAAAAACAATCAACAGAATTCAAGCATAGAAAAATTCCGAGATCCATTCTGATAGAAGGCAATGGTTTCTCATGAAGTTTAATTACATCCTGTACTCTTCGTCAGTCAAATTTGTAATTATCTAACCTATAATAATCTAACATAATAAGAATAATTTTTGTATTTGACAATATTATTAACTTGTATTATTAGTTATTAATGATTAACTAAAAATAATAATTCTAAAATTTTTTTCAATTAAATGTAAATTTTTCTGTAAACATTCAGGCTTTGGGAATTATACTGGTATACTACATTATAAAGGCAGTGATACAATGTAGCATTTCCTGTTAGAAACCATAATATAAAAATAACGTCAGTCACAAAAGTGAGTCACATACTGCCTCGAATAAAATATATTAAGACTGATGCAATAATTGATTTCAATATAAAACGCATTAAATAGATAAATCAATGCAATAAATTGCAAATTTCAAGGATAGGCATATTGATGCTTATCTTTCTTCTATGTGAACAGAATCATTCAGTAGGTTTATAGATTACATTTTCTACAAATTACTTTCCTCTAAAATATACATCATTTAACCCAATTTATTATAATTATTAATTTAATTGAACAATAACTTAATTGAATAATCTAACGTTTTAAAGTTCTAAATTGTGTAATAAATTTATTATATAAGTACGACAATGATTTTATTGAAATAGACCTACATATAAAAAATACGATAGAATTAATAATAGTGTATAATTAGAAAATAATAAAAAATTACCTTAAGCTTCAGAATCCTCCAAATGATTATTTTCACCATCTCCATTTGATTCTTCCGGTCGTAAATCGATGGCAAATTTTTTGATTCTCCTAGAAAGTGTCTGCATCTTGCTGAATTCTTTAAAAGCCTCCGCCAGACATAAAGTTAAACTGGTGGCATTCTGACGACTTCCACAGACAAATCCGTGACATTCAAACGGATGTCTACCAGTCTCATTTTTACATTCACAGACCACAATCATGGCAAAAACTCTGGTGTACACCAAGTCCTGCACACCGTATGATATAGTTTCGATCGGCACCAACCCACTAACAAAATTTCTATTTCGATTTTGCGGCATTTCGCTGATGCTAATTCCTCTCAAGGATACTTCCAACTTCAGAAAAGGTAAAGTTTCACCAGGTTTTAATGTTTTAGCAATTTTGACCATCTGATCGACTGGTTTCCGAGTGTGTTTAATTCCCCAAAGTCCTTTAGAATCTCTTTTTCCTAAATACTTAACGACGAACGTTTGAGGTATGGAGTTACTCGAAACCTCATCTTTCTCCGAAGCAGACATGCTGCTTCTACCGTGTTTCAGCGATTCCTGTACGTTCACCTGACGGCTACCATTTCCTGCGTTAGGTTCTGCTCCGCTGACGTCGCTGAAACGTACAACGAACTTCTCACTATTTATGTCTCCCATGAGATTTTTCACGTCCTTCCCCGTTAACGAAAATATCGGATTGCTTCTGCGCGATACGTAAAGCCAAGAGCATGTGACAGTCGTTGAGAAGTCACCCTTGAAGCCTGTTTTCAGTTGCTTCTTTGGCACGCTTTAACGTTCTGTATATTGGCTACGAGGATATTTCTACGGAAAACAATGAAAGGAAAACTTTGAAGGTCGGTCATACCGGATTGACAACGTGTTTTTATAAAGCTCTCGGTTGTTATTGTCAATTCTTAACACGGAAACAACTACGTAAATTTTTGATTTTGCGTGAAAATTTATATTTAATAGCTTTCGCTTTGTAAAGATTTCCTTCTTCGATATCATTGTTTTTATTAATGATTGAAATTTTCAATGTTAACTACATATACGCTAAATATAATAATAAAATGGATAATAATAATTAACTTCTACAAAATACATCCATAATATAGATTTAAATCCTTTTTCGAAAATTATTATTATTATAAAGTTAAAGACATTAATATATTATATTATATTTATTGATTTTTAATGAAATAATCTATTGTTTAATAATTCAAATGACAATAATAATTTTAATATTAATAATTTTGTTAAGAGAATCAAAAAATTCGATTTCGAATTACCTTTACCTAGAAAAGGTCTCAATAAATGTAATAATTTAAAACATTTTTTTTTTTATTTAAGCCACTTTTCACATAGAAATTGATTATCTGCAATATAGATTTGACATCTCATTTGAAATTGTATTTGTAATTTTTAGTTAAGAAAAGCAATTACAGTCAAATCTCTGAACAATAGCTATAAATTGTCTTATAATATCTAATGGTTACCATAACTTAATGTACAGAATTTAATAAATATCTTAGAACATTATTGTGTACATTTTGAAAGTAATTTGAATGTTATTCATTATAATAAATTAAATAGAAATTTTATTTATAGTAAAGTTATTTCTATACTTGAAAAATTAAATGCTTTAATTTTACATTTAATAAAATTATATTTTAGAATTTTTTTGTGTAATACGAGTAATAATATTAATACATACATTTAGTATATTATGATACATATATTTATTTATTTCATATATATTATTTATTTCATTTTTTATGTACAGTGACATACAATTCACAAAAAGTTTTTAAAGTAAATTTTATGTTGCTTTTTTTGTTTATTTATTTTTAAGATATTACCAGAAAATAACTATTATTGCAAAAGTATATTTCTATCTTAAAAAAAATCTGAAAAGTTTTAGTGTGTTCAATTGTTCCCTGTTAACCTCATTCTGTGGTAACTGTTTGTTTAATCGAAAAATACACGTGTTTAGTCGAAATTTTGCTTTTTTTTTTTACTAACTTTCCACCAGCAACTGTACAGTAATTTACTGTACATTTGCTGCTAGTGGAAAGTTATTACACACGTTTATATAATATGATGACTAATAAAATCCAATGACGTAATGAATGACAAACAATCGAAATCAAATTACTTTTTTTATATGCAATATATATTTTAGAAATAAATTACATACTGCCATTGATTTAACTGTATGTTCTCATTTTTTTTATCATAAATATATTAACGGAAAATTGCAATTACTAAGTTATACAAAATAGAGTTATTTCTTGTTACTGGGTGAAAATTTTCATTTAATCTCCCTTCTAATTATGAAAAGATTTACTATATATATATATATATTTTAAATTAAACCGTAAAGANTATATATATATATATATATATATATTAAATTAAACCGTAAAGAACTTATACAATCTATGTATTTTGCAGAGTATGAAAATTTAACATGAATAGTAGATTATTTGTGGATGAATTGGAAAACATTAAACTAATAAAAGAGAACTATTATGTGTTAATAATACCGAGCACTTCCGGGGCCGTCCATTAATTACATGTACAGTTTGATGGAAAGAAAGTAGTCGCAATGATATACTTTTTACACCTTTACTAATTTTGCTTTACAGTACATGATACTGCATTTTTGTATTTTTAGCGTTAAGCAAGCAAAAAATCCAAACGAAATTATTGAAACGAAATGTTTTCGCAGCATTGAATGTTTCCATACGATGATTCCTCACGATGGGGAGAAAGATGTCAAAGCATTATCTACATAGACTTTTATCGGTGCTATTAGTGGTACATGAGTTTGCTCTTGTGAGCCTATTCATGTGAATAAACTATCAGAAAATATTTGCAGCACTTTTTAAAATCATTTCTTCAATATTAGGGATGTATGAACACTTAATTAAAACGAAAGATAGAGTTTGCCAAAAGTGAATCATTGTACACAGCAGGAGTGTATAAATGTGTCTCAAAAACTATATTATTATTTAGACAATTATTTAAAAATTAGGTACACTGCGAGCTAAGAACCTTTTTTTTTCTAATTTTACGTTTTTGTTCTATTTACTTAGAAAGAATACAGCCGACCCCCCATAACACCGTTGATTATTCCGTTTTATATGAATTCCATGTTGTACGGCTGTGAACGGCTCACGTATTTGTAAAATCTAAGTGACTCGTACAACATGGAATTCATATAATACGGAATTATCAACAGTGTTATAGGGGGGGCGACTGTAATTTCTTATCACGAAATGTTCGTGATTGACACGAGAACCACGTCTGATATAAAGAAACTATCGATGTTTTAAATTAAATAAGTAATGAAAAAATAATTTCCTTTTTTCGGAAATAAGAATATTTTTAAAATAAAAACATTTTAGTGAATCAAAATCACGAAATTTTTCAACCTTAGTACATATAATAATATAATAATCTTAATATATTTAATATATGATAATGCTATCTTTTTAGAATTTCAAGTTATAAATAAATGAATGAAATTATTTTTACGGAATGTATACCACAAAAAAATTTATTTTTACATCTCAGCAATCTGGACTACTAATGATGTATAGAAGAGACACATACACCTCCCGTCACCGTTTCATCATGCTCAGCCATTTGAGGCAATTTAATCCGTAACTGATGTGCTCAACTGATATGGAAACATTCAATGCTGCGAAAACACTTCGTTTCAATAATTTCGTTTGGATTTTTTGCTTGTTTAACGCTAAAAATACAAAAGTGCAGTATCATGTACTGTAAAGCAAAATGAGTAAAGGTGTAAAAATTAATGTGAATTTTATCAATAAAGAGAATAATAATACTGTAATATGTTTTAATATGTTCTATTACCCGGTAGTTTTGCGTTAATTCTATATTTTATATTATTAAAGAAATGTGTAGTTTTAAAGTACAAGCTTTTTACAAATTTAATTAAAATCTAATAGAAAAAGAATTTATATTTTAATATTTGTTAAATATTAAAATATAAATTTCTGTTTTTTCTTTATAGGAAAAAAGATTATAATTTAAAATTACATATTTTTTCTAATAATAAAATATAGAACTAACACAAAACTAATATACAAGTCTTGTATTAAAATTTTTAATTAAATTCAATATTTCAGTTCATTTTCTAGTTTAAGTATAATTTTAGAAAAATATTTGTAACTGGTTTTAATATTATATTTTCTAATTAAGAAATTTTTCTTATTTTAAATCTATATTTAAATAATATGCCAAAACATATGTAAACTTATTCTAACAAATTCAAATTTATTTAAGCAATTTTTACAAATAGTATTGGAATTTAATTAAGATGTAAATAACTCATCTGCAACTAATATAAATTTGCATTTCACAAATAAGAAATAAATATAATTTCTTTTTTAAATATTGAGCATATTGAATGTAAAAGTATAAACCGCAGTATCACTAATGAGTTTTATTTATCCATTAGATATAATTACACCGATATTTAATTGGGGCAGTTATGTAAAAAGTGTTCATGCTCGAATAAATTCTGCACACTTCAATGCTCCTACATTCATAATTCTGAGAATTATCGTTTGTTAGTCAGAGAAATTTTTTCCATAGCGTGTTTACTCGTGAATATCTCCTCGTTTAAATATTTATCAAACATATTTATTTCTATAATTAAATTATTAACATTTAATTTAATTCTTATAAAAACAGATTCCTTTAAGATTTTCGTTTAAATTACATATCTTTAAGTGAGCAACTGTAAATTTCGATCTTGCAGCGTATTTTAGTATAAACTAAGTAATTAGAAATTATAACATAAATGATAACAAAACTTAATACAAATATATTTATATTTTATCTTGCAATAAATTTATTTTGTAATAATTTTAATATAAAACTATTGCTATATACTCTTTAATATTTCCATGTTGTTAGTAGTTAAGTATAAGCATTCCATTTGAGAAAATTTACAATATATTGTGTATACTTTTAATGTAGAAAATGAAATAAGAAACTCACTAAATAGCGTAGCAATTATTATCTACATAATTTATATCTTTGCTAATATTATTTCCGGATCAGTGGCACGAATGGCATTTATTTCTTTATAAGATAATTATTCAATTCTTAGTGTTTATAGGCGAACAATAGACATTCAGATTAAGTAAAAATAACTTATTTAATTAATTTGAATGTCTGTAAGCATTAAAAGTTAAAAAATAAACTAGAATTTGGTGAATCTGTGAGAAGAAGCAATTTCAATTCATACAAAAATATTTTTCAACATGCACAGTAAACATATTATTCAGTTTTGTTTTTGTATCTTTTTAAATAAATTTATTAGTAAAAATGTCTATATCTTTAATTGTTAATTTTTTAACTTATTTTTCCTTCGAAATCAAAGACTACAATTAAGACGAGTCTCTAGTAATAAAATTATTTGCGTGACATAAAAAATTAAGCCTGATTATTGAGGGATAAATTTTAAAATCTTTATGTGAAATTCATAAATCGAATAAATTAAATTTCTTAAAATTCGCATTAAAATATTATTAAAATTCTACTCGTGCAAACTAATTTGCATTAATTACAATATTTATATTGATCATTTAAAAAATACATAATTAAATATTAATTACGATTTCAATCCGAATTTTATCCTTTCTGTTCTGCTCTCGGTTGTTAGAGACACTGACCTTTATTATTATTATTATTTTTTTAATATCCATCCCGAGGCTATTTTTTGTGCCTTTGACCCATAATTGCACAGCCGGGTAGTGAAAGAAAGAATCCGGCATATCCAGATTAAATCGCACGTGAAAATTTATGAGGATCCGATCCGAATTCGAATTCAAAGCGTATCAACTTCAGCCATCCGGCTTCTCTGTCCATCATCTTTGATGTTGTGGGTTACGTCTAAGACTGATATACATTCTTTTCTTTCCACAGCTTTAAGAATAAAAAATGTTTTATCACAGATAATGATATTAGAGAAATCAATTCGTGTTTTATCTATTTTTCGATTGTGAACATACAAATTACATCAGAACATACCTAGAATATGTCAGAATAATTTCTTTTGTTTGGAGAGTATAATCGATTCTTAAAAACTTAACAAATAGTTTTATTCTTCTATAAATTTACAAATCTTGGTCTGCAGTAAAATCCTTATCAATGCGGTTGATTCAAAATGCATAGCCTAAAGCAAATCTTCATTTAAAAAATTAAGAGTCGGTATTATTTAATAAGTTACGTTTAACAGACGTAACTTATTAAAGAAATGAGGCGAACTCGAAGTTACGTTTAACGATGCTGAGAATAAAAGCTATATTTACAATTTGTGATTTAGCTGTTATGGACTAATTAGACAATGTACGAGGTTTATTTACTGTTTTGTGAGTGCTTTATTGTCAATATTATGCCAAGGATGCATTTCGGGCATTGCCCTTCATCAGTTTGACTTAGTGTGTTCCAGAACATCATATCAAACTTCAGTGGCACAATTTATTAAAAAAGTAATTGCTTTTAAAAGAGAATAACAATTGAATAACATGAATAATAAAAATATTTATTATTATAAAACAAATAGCACAACTGCTTACATTCAAGCTTATTGAGAATGTACAAAAAGTTTAACTTATATATTCAAAGTAGACCTACACTTAAACTGATGTGGTTTTAAGTATAGTTTAAGTGTATTTTGAATATATAAATTAAACTTTTTGTACTGTACATTCTCAATAAGCTTGAATGTAAGCAGTTGTGCTACTTATTTTATAATAAAAAACATTTTTATTACTCATGTTATTCAATTGTTCTCTTTTAAAAGCTTTGAAAATTCTACAGATCGATATTTCGTTGTAATATGTGTGTTGGGGTGTATTTCTTTTAATCTCAGGATGGGATAATGGTTAAAAAATGAAATTTGGCATGGTAACTTGTATATAAGGGGCATTAATGCTATTAAATTTTGGTGGTTAAAGGTCCAGGGGTGAAAAGATAGAAGGGTGTCGTATCATATCTGGAGAGGAATCGGACTTAATAACGATTTTGCTCTTTATTAGCATTTATAATTTTTTTTATAAAATTCATCTCTACCCTCAAAATTAAGAGTTTGCCATTTTATATTAATTAATAATATAAAAAGTTTTTATTATAAAATCTCTTAACAGATGGCGCCACGAAATTTGTTTATTAATACAGTAGAACCTCCATTATCCGGACCTCCATTATCCGGATTTTCGATTATCCGGATTGTTCAAAATAAACAAAAATTTTACGAATTTGCTGATTTGCACTTGGCGAATTACGACACTGTTTATGTACGTGATGGAATGCATAACATTTTTTGTTTCAACAACGTCTCACNGTATTGTGATTAATAATATAAAAGTTGTTTTTTAAATAAAAACTCTTAATAACCTGGAAAGTTGCTCAACTCGTTGCTGGATTTTTTTATTTAAATCGGTTTTCATGTTCAGCTTCTTTCATGAACTGTTTCTTATTCTTCCAATTGCATGATTTATCTTCAGTTCTTCAATCATTTATTGCAGGGCAATTCTTTTTTTTTAATAGCAGGAACATATAATTTGTTCTATATTCTTTAAAACAATCGCAAGGATGAGTTTGCTTCCTTTTTTATATGGTAATGCCATTTTGGTAGCTTTGCAAGCATTTACTAATAAGTAAATGCGAACTTTTATTCACACATAAAAAAAGTAAATGCTTTGACTTCAAAGCTTTTATTTACAATAAGTACTTTCACTGTTACTAATAAATTTTAAGTATTTATTACTTTTTATTTAACCGGCCCATTGTGTACGTAGACTTTTTTAGTAGTATTAATGCAACATCAAACTAAATAAAGTTAATATTTAAAAAACGGAAAAACTTTTATAATACGGCCGAACGAAAATGAAGTTCGAGACAACAGGGAAACCGACAGAAAAGAAACAGATTGAGTTAGGGAGGAGCGAGCATTCTTTCTCCTTGAATTTCTGACTTTTTAAAGGATCTCTCCTCTAAAGTCTTAATTCGATCGGTTAATCAATTTGACACTTCCGTTCGACTTGGTCCGCGAGTGTCAATCCAACTTTGAAACTTTCGCTCGTATCTCACGCCGTGATATTTTCTTTCCTGACGGCTAAGAATTTTTCTGTATTCTTCATTACTTACAACGCGACAATTCTGTTTTCAAAGGAATTCTACATTTATTTTCAAATGTTGTCATGTCTACGAGGTCAGAGTCAAAGCTCGATTTTTCCGATTGACATTCTAAACATTCCGCTAGTTACAAAATTTGAAAAATTATAGTCCTATAAATTCCTACTGTCGTCCGTCAGTCCGTTTTAGTTTCGAGAACGGAGTTAGACAGATATGGAAACCTTAGGGACAGGTGGCCTCAATTATACATGAACTTTCGATGCAAACCGGAAGTCACGTTTTTTCAATTCAACCCCCTCCCCCAAAGCAGTTAATAGATGACCAGCACGACTCTATTGTTAAAGAAAAAATATGATGTACAGGGGCAAGTCACTACTAATTTGAGGTGGAGAACGTATATTTTTAATTAAGTTATTTAAAAATATGATTAAAGATTGCAGCCTGGCATTGTGACGATGTCACTGTAAATAATTGCTCGTTGTTATAGTTTGTTTGTAGAATTATTTACAATTAAAAACTACATTTTGACCTTTGTTATGTTATGAACCATAATATTGAAGTTAAAATCCTTCTAAGTGGTAATAAGGAGTTAAGTCCGACCTCTCTCTCGAGATATGACACCCTCTGTCTCTCCATCTCTTTAACCTTTAACCACAAAAATTTAATAGCATCAATGCTCCTTATACACAAGCTATCATGCCAAATTTCGTAACACACATAGACGAAATATGTTTTTCCTTTTTGGGGGAACTTTTTTGGGTTCAACATGTCTCAAAACGTGGAGATTTGCAAAAAACTCTGAGAGTCAAATTTGATACGATTCCAATGCTTTCCCATGTTAAGTATATCTAACAGCTGGGAAAGTAAAATTAAGAATACTTAGAAATGCATTTGTCTTATCGCTACAGAATATTTTGTCTTGTTTAGAAACGTTTAAATAAAGGGTTGAAGAAAGAAATGTCTTGTTATTTACTTTGAAAATTAAAAAAAAAAAAATTGATTAGGGTCATTTTTATCTGTACCATCTTAGTTAAGGATTAATTAAAACTCTCTCTTTCCTTTGCACACTTTTACACAACGAGTTAGAATACTCTAGCTCATTACCTTTACACAACACAAATGGCACGCCCTTTTGACAAAAAAGAAAATGGCGGACATGTATTCAATTTCAATAAACATGACTTTGCAGTAGTATATTCTAGCTCATTTGCTATTGCGCATTCGAATACTTGTCATTTTCTCCGAAATGTAATATCTCGTTTGAAAGATTTCATAATATTTGAACAAAAGTTTTACATAACAATTATAACATAAAGTTTATAAAATATTATTTTATATTAAATATTTTATTAAAATAAAATTAATAATAATTTATAAATATTATATCGACTTTATTTATAAGTTTTTAATTTTAAATTAATTTGAAAAGTAAATTTTTGTTTGAATGGCGCCATCTCTTTGAAAATAATGGCATAAGTGTCTTATTGCATCTTTCGTACGAAAGTAGAAGTAAAAAGTAAGTTTATATTTAAATATTGATATATAACTGTAATTGTTATTAATTTACGAATTCTTATAATATTTTAATACTTCCGTTAATGTTTTGAAAGGCTTGAGCATTTATTCTTAATTATAATGTGAGTTTTATTGTTAAAACAATTTATATAATCTAACGAAGTTATTATTTACTTTTGAACAGTTGAACGAAGATCAATGTAGTGGACGTAAACCAATTGAGAAGTATTTTAAGTCTATCAATACCGTAGCTTTGAGTTTATAGACTTTAGAAAATGGCTCAAACAACAGCATTGAAACGTTTCGTGCTTTGTAAGTATTGAACAATACACAGGTTATAACTGATTGGTGAGGAAATATAATTTATTAAACAATTACCTAATGTATGTATGCATACATACAGATCAAACTTTAATATGTTGATTCAAAAATATGCTATTTAAAAATTCTTTTATAATGTTAGAGTGCACATTCTACTTTAGTTTTAATCAATACAATGATTAAATGTAGATAGAACTTTCTCACTTAAAATATACTCTTAATAACCTGGAAAGTTGCTCAACTCGTTGCTGGATTTTTTTATTTAAATCGGTTTTCATGTTCAGCTTCTTTCATGAACTGTTTCTTATTCTTCCAATTGCATGATTTATCTTCAGTTCTTCAATCATTTATTGCAGGGCAATTCTTTTTTTTTAATAGCAGGAACATATAATTTGTTCTATATTCTTTAAAACAATCGCAAGGATGAGTTTGCTTCCTTTTTTATATGGTAATGCCATTTTGGTAGCNTAAGAAATGCAGCAATTTAAACTACTATATTGTGAGCAAATAGTAATAAAAATGATCAATCTAATATTTAGTGCACTGGTTAAGAGTGATATTAATAACTTGATTTATGAATAACTTGAGCACATTAATTAGCTACATGTTGAGACTGACAGACATTTTTAACCTCTTTTCATACTATTTACCTGAAGATAATGATAATTATAAATGAAACTCTGGTTATGATAAAGTTTTTTATAAGCATAGTATATTTCAAGACATGAGAACATTACATGATTGATAACAGAATTTGTAGTTAGAATAAATGAATTCTACTGTTTTATTTGTTTATAATATGAAAAGTCAGTTTAAATCATTTATAATGAAAGAAACTTTAATTATAATTTTTCAATTCAACTAATTTATATTTTAACTTAAAATAGAATATAATTAGAATTTCTTTTCAGATAAAAATAATTTTATTTAAATTATCTAATCATTAAAATTAAACTAGCCTAACTACTTTTTAAAGAGAGAGAGAGTGCTTCACAGGTTATTCTCCAAAAACAGTTATTAGTTTAACTTTTGAAGTTTTTTTGAAGATGATGGAATTAAGGTTTAATCATTAAATTTTATATTTAAATCTGAAGATCAGTAGATTTGGTAGAATAACTTCAGATCAAATTATACGTGTAATATCAAATTATACAATGCATAATTTGATATGGGAAACTCATTTGTCTTTGTGTTTTGAGTACAGCAAACACTGTGAATTTAAAGTTTCATGAACTATAAATACTGTAATGTAATTACTGAATTTGAAGATAAATTAATTTACTCAAAATCTAATGTAATGTTATCTATATGACTTAGTTTGTGAAAGTTTGGTCTCTGTGTATTATACTCTGTGGTATGTACAATGCTACACATTGTGTTATTTATTTTGTTTTTTTGCAAGCTAATTCAGATAATTGAGTTTATACTATATTTATATTTTTGTGCATTTTATAGCTGTAAATTTCTTTATGTTTAAATGATTTTTGAGTTTATTTCTTCATTTACAATAGCTTTTCATAAATTTTTCAACGTTAAATTATTAGCAATAATGATTTTCAGTTTCTTTACTAAATTATAGCAGTTGCCATTCACACTTGAAATAATAATATAATTAATGTATTTGACTATTATATCTAGTGTTAGACACAATAATATATAATAAATTATGTATTAACCTTTTTTATCTAGATTAATTAGAACAAATATTTTTCTATACATGTACAAAATAATAATAATAGTAATGTTTTTCTACAAAGTGATTATAACCTCTATAATTTTATGTAAATTTCAGTCTACAGAAGAAAGTTTTTGTTTTATACAAGAGTGATATTAAAATGGAAGCAATCTGACATCCATTTTCACAGTCCTAGATTATTAAGAATGGCTAGGAATTAATCATTAACATTCATTTTAAGGGCATAAGTGATTATTACTAAACTTATGATTTTGAATCTTAATCATGAAATGTAAATACTATGGAAAAAGCTTTATGGATATATATAATCTTATATCATCTTATATAATAATAAAAACATTCACAAATCAGAAAATTCAGCAGTAGAATTTTAATTCAAGAAATTCTTAATAAAGTTGAATGTTTCAACAAATTTAAGTTATCATTAAAAATGATGTCTTAAATCTTCTATCTGAAAATCATCTTATATATGTTCCAAAAGTCAGGAAAAAATTGCTGGTGGAATGAAACATGACACACACACAACACAAAGCATGTGTCAAATGAAAGATAAACCCCATAAATTTTTCATCTTGAAGTTAGTGCAACTGCATATTCATGGTGATGAGCATACACAGCTGACAGTTCAAATGAAAGTGCAGTGTGTTTTGTGAGTAGAAAAATTAATTTAATTTTGTGGCTGTGACTCATGTATAATGTAAGTAATGTTGTTCATGAAGAACTGCCATATGAAACTAACAATTATCATTGGGATAGACAGCTAAAAGATACTGGAAGCCTACTGAAAAGTGGTCAGGAAGCCCATCTGTTAGTACTGAATTGGTTGAAGTTATTCAAAAGTTTCATTAGCAATCCAAAGAAATCAACAATTATAACTTCCAAAAAACTATTCGGAGAGTTCGGAAAAAATCTACATTTTACTTTTTATAAATCTCACTTATTATATGCAATTCACTCAGTCAATGATTGGGGCCCACCAGTGGCCAAGCGGTCACCATTCCCTGAACACTGGGAGTTTGGTCGTGGGTCGATGGCACATCCGAGTGAGATGTGCCATCTGAGTGGCACATCTCACTCGGATGGACTGGCCACGTGGAGTTTTCCGAGAAGGCACCCCCTAGGCCGGGGATGGCAAACCAATGGCATGCATGCCATAGATGGCACGAAAGAAAATTTTGATGGCACGCACAAAAAATATGATTTATTTTTATTAATCATAACAAAATTTTACTTTATAAATTATAAAAATGAATTAGAATTCAACAATCCATACTTTAAAAATAATTTATAATTTAAATTTATAGTTCTGAATATCTACCAACTATAAAATATCATTTTGTGGTATGATCGATGCTCTCCTGTGGTCATGCGTATTAATTTGCTCCGTCATGAAAACAGACTGTATTGCCAATGAGCCTTTAGTCTTTGTAATTCCAAGCATTTGTATGTGTCATTTTAAAACTTTAATCATTGACATGTTAAATATAACTATTTACAACACTACGGTTTTATTTTAAGGTAATTATTGCATTTATACATATATTTTAAATTTAAATATAATTTTTTAGATTATTGTTTTATAATTTTTTATTATGGCTAGTTCAATGAAAAAATCGAAATTATCAGACACAGGTAGTAGCAGAGAATTTCCAATTTGGTGGACCGATAGGTACGGTATGATTAATAAGGACATTAAAGCTATTTGCATTTTATTTTCAGGAACGGTGGTTTGTAGATCATCAGTAAAGCGATATTATGAAACCAACCGCAAATCTCTTTTCAATCGAAGTGAAAAAGAGCAAAAGGAGTATATATCACGTGTTTTCAAAAATAAAAATACACAAACTACGTCCTTAATGGAATATATTGGAACTCAATCAAACACTACTGCTGCTAGTTATCAAGCGTCAAAAGCTATTGCTCAATACGGGAAAATTTTTAATGACGGTCATTTTTTAAAGGAAGCTTGGTTGCAATGTGCACCCTACTTATTCGAAGATTTCAAGAATAAAGAAAAAATTATCCAAAGAATTAAAGATATACCCATGGGCGTAGCGAGGGGGCCTGGGTGGGCACGGCCCCTCCCAGGGAACCTGGTGCCCTCCCCAGGAAATCACAGCCGAAAAAGTGTTGAGTCGATTTGTAAAAACCTAAAGCTAAAATAAAAGTTTTGAATACTAAAAAAAGGTGAACGGCTTGCTCGGTGCCCAATAATGAACAATAATTTGAAATAATTCAATTTTGTGTCAGGTTGGCCTCCACTAGGCCCCCCATAACAAAACTCTGGCTACGCCCATGG